TCACCAATAAAATGCATTTTTTAAAAATATTTATATCGCCCCCCTAAAAAATAAAGTGCTTAGCACATATCTATCAGTTTTAAAAAATTGAAAGAACTTTCCCTGGACAGTGTGGCTCAGTTAGTTGGAGCATCATCCCATACACTGAAAGGTTGAGGGTTCAATTCTAGTCAGGGCACATACCTAGGTTATGGGTTTGGTCACTAGTTGAGGCACATATGGGATGCAACAGATCAATGTTTCTTTCTCACTTCAATGTTTATCTCTCTCTCCCTCACCCTCTCTCTAAAGCCAATAAAAACATATCTTCAAGTGAGGATTACAAAAAAATAAAATAAGAACTCTAGTCAAATATATGAACACAGACGAATCTCACATACAACGGTGGGCAAAAGTAGGTTTACAATTATGAGTACATGAAACAGTGTACTATTGTATTATTTATTGTTTAATTGTACTAGAGGCCCGGTGCACAAAATTTGTGCACTCGGGGCGCGGGGGGTCACTCAGCTGGGCCTGTGACCTCTCACAGTCTGGGACCCCTCAGGAGATAATGACCTGCTGGCTTAGGCCTGCTCCCGGGTGGCAGAGGGCAGGCCAATCCCTTGGTGCAGCCCCTGGTCGGGCTCAGAGCAGGGCCGATTGGAGAGTTGGGGCGCCGCCCCGTCATGCACAGAGCAGGGCAGATTGGGTGGTTGCGATGCCACCCTCAGTCACGCTCAGGGTAGGGCCGATTGGGGGGTTGAGGCACCACCCCCTGTCACACTCAAGGCAGGGTCGATGGGGAGGTTGCGGCGCCACCCCCGTCACGCACAAAGCAGGGCCAATCAGGGGGTTGGGGCACTGCCCCCTGTCACGCACAGAGAAGGGCCCATCAGGGGGTTTGGGGCTCCGTACCCTGTCACGCACAGAGCAGGGCCCATCAGGGGGTTGGTGAGCTCCCCCCTATCATGCATAGAGCAGGGCCCATCAGGGGGTTGAGGACTTCCCCCCTGTCACTCACAGAGTAGAGCCCATCAGGGGTTTGGGGAGCTCCCCCCTGTCATGCACAGAGTAGGGCCGATAGGGGAGTTGGGGCACCGCCCCCTGTCACACACAGAGCAGGGCGGATCAGGGGGTTGGGGTGCCAGCACTGTCACACTCAGGGCAGGGCCGATGGGGAGGTTATGCCTCTACCCCATCACACACAGAGCAGGGCCCGTGGGGTGGGGATTGGGGCGCCGCCTTCTATCACCCACAGAGCAGGGCCGATCAGGGAGTTAAGGCACCGCCACTCTCACTCACACTCATGGCAGGGCCAATGGGGAGGTTAGGGCTCTACCCCATCACACACAGAGCAGGGCCAATGGGGGAGGGGGGTGGGGCGCTACCCCCTGTCACACACAGAGCAGGGCCAATCAGGGGGTTGGGGCGCCTTCCAGTCACGAATAGAGCAGGGCGGATAGGGAGGTTGTGGCCCTGCCCCCTGTCACACACAGAGCCGCAGGGCAATCAGGGGGTTTGGGCGCTGTCCCCTGTCACCCTGATCCCGGTGCCGGGAGGCCTCTTGGCTCTGCTGATCCTGGTGCTAGGAGGCATATTACCCTTTTACTATATAGGATAGAGGCCTGGTGCACGGGTGGGGGCCGTCTGGTTTGCCCTGAAGGGTGTCCTGGATCAGGGTGGGGGTCCCAACTGGGGTGCCTGGCCAGCCTGGGTGAGGGGATGATGGCTGTTTGCAGCTGGTCACACACCCTTCAGGGTGGGGGTCCCCACTGGGGTGCCTGGCCAGTCTGGGTGAGGGGCTGAGAGCTGTTTTCAGACTGGCGGGTGACTGAAGCTCCCAACCTCTCCTTTTTTTCTTTTTTTTTTATTCTGGGCCAGCTTTAGCTTTGAGGCTTGGCTCCAGTTCTTAGGCCTCCGCTGCTGAAAGTAGGTGTCTGGCCTTTGTTTACCTTCTGTATTTGAAACAATGTTGCGATCCTGCTGGCTGAAGCCCGACGGACTAAAGCAGGTTTCTGGGGTTTTGTTTAGCTTCTATATTTGTAACATAGCTGCTTAGAGTTGCAGCTCAGAGGCCTGCAGCGGCAGGCAGGGAACGTTGGAGTCCTCCATCACTGAAGCAAGCAAGTCTCATGTTCGTTTTAAGCTGCCTGGCTGCCGGCCGCCATGTTGGCTGGCAGTTAATTTGCATATCGCCCTGATTAGCCAATGGGAAGGGTAGTGGTCGAATGCTAATTACCATGTTTCTCTTTTATTAGATAGGATTACCACTGTAGACCTACTTTTACCAATCCTTATACATAATTTTGAGTGAAAAAAAGAAGATACAAAAATAATATATACAGAATCATTCTTTTTAATAGATATGAAAGGCAATAATAGCAAAAACAAATAATGCTTACTTTGCATTGGACGGGGTTCTAAGAATTTTATATATAACTATTGGCCCGGTGCACAAAATTCATGCATGGTGGGGGGTTCCCTCAGCCCAGCCTGCACTGTTTCGCAATCTGGGACTGCTGGCTCCTAATCGCTCACCTGCCTGCTGGCCTGATCTCCCTAACTGCTCTCCCCTGCTGGCCTGATCCCCCTAACTGCTCTCCCCTGCCAGCCTGGTCATCCTAACTGCTCTCCCCTGCCAGCCTGATCACCCCTAACTGCCTCTGCCTCGGCCCTGCCATCTTGGCTTTGTCCGAAAGGACTTCCAGAAAGTCGTCTGGAAGTTGTTCAGTCTAATTAGCATATTACCTTTTTATTTGTATAGATTGATTTCAGAGAGGGAGGGAGACAGAACCCTCAATGAAGAGAGAGAATCATTGATTGGCTGCCTCCTGCACGCCCAACACTGGGGATCAAGCCCACAACCCAGGCATGTACCCTGACTGGGAATTGAACTCCAGGCCCTTCAGTCTTCAGGTGGGGGCTCTATCCACTGAGGAACACTGGCCAGGGCTACACTTTCCCTTTCCGCTGGGACGTGTTCTGTCTGCTGGAGCTGAATCACTGAAGCTGTCTCATTGGGGCAGAGTGGGGTGCACTGGGAAGCTTAAGGCAGAGAAGGGTGCACTGGGTTGGAGCAGGTGGAGCCCCCTGAAAGCTGCAGAGGGGCCTCGCTTAACAGCCACACTGTTTTATGGCTGTGCTGCTTCGCAGTTGAGTGGCCACACTTTTGGGCTGTGACACAGTCTGCAGGACCTTATACAACTGAACTGTCTGCACGGATAGCTTCCTCCTCACCACATCCCCAAGCTGGGGGTTTCTCTTAGGGTTGAAGTGACACCAATCACCCTTGGTTGGTAGCCAATTGGCCACTTTGTAAAGAGAAGTGGGGAATCCTGATTTTACATGAACACTCCAATTTTTTAAGTTAGCAACTAATGCAAACTTCAGATGTTTGGGCCAAACCAGAGAGGTGGTCAGACCTGGTGTCCAGGCCACTGGGCAGCACTGGGATCAGCCCAGCTGTAAAGGAACCTTAGGTGTCTGGGCAGGTGAAGGGGTGGGGGCCTGCTTAGGTAATTCTGACATCACCCCACTTGTTTGTTTGTTTTTTATTTTTCCACTAATATCAATTTATTGTAATCTGTTGGCAGCATAGATAGATATTAGTTACCAGAACTTTGTCTTCATAGAAGTGGACAGTATGTAGCCGTTCTATAGGAAACTGTGTGCACTTAATCATCAGCATGATCTTTCAGTTTCTTTTTTTGTTGTTGTTAATGAAAATAAGCTTTATTATATCAAATAATAAATACATACAAAGATGCAAACACTATTAGTCACTGTCTTTCAGATGTTTGGATCCACTGATGGGAAAGGCAAAACTGAAACCTACATATATCCTTAGGGGAAATTTCAGGGGTCCTTGTAAGGCAAGATTCGATAAGTTTCTCTTTCTTCTGTATTTATAACTTGTGCATTTTAAAGATTGATTTCAACTCATGCAAATGCTTAAGGAAAAAAAAGTTACATTGAGCAGAATTTATACTGTGTGGTGAATGGGCACTGGCTACTAAAGCACTGCCTCAGGACTTGCTGAAACAAACCTTCAGAGTTGGATCAGCTCAGAAGAGAAACATAAGGAACCATGTGAGTAACAGAAATGTATCCAGAAGAGAAACACCAGTATCTGGGAGGCCAACTACAGTTTGCTGTGATAGGTAACTGATGTGCATCATGTAAATCAATACTTTAAAAAAATACACAAAATTCCCTGGGTAGTTCCTAACTAATATATAAGCCTAGTAACTGCAAAAATCTCTTCTCCTTTTCAGCGAAGGGAGGTTCGGAGCCTGAGGAACCATGGGAGGGGCACAGGGAGGAGAAACCAAGCTGTTACCATTTTGAAACCAAGTTTCATCTGAAGGGGGTGGGGGGTCAATGAGCTTCTTGGAAGAAGATGGAAAGCCTTTCACGCTGACTTGGAGGCTAGGACTTGGCGTTCCACTCTGTCTCCACCAAGCACTCCCCAACCAGCCCTCTCACGTGGATGATGCCTCATTTCAGTCTCTCCATTGTGCTCTTTCTGCCTGCGTACATGGGTCGGCTCTCCTTCCCCAGATCTTTGATGATGGCCAGCAGCTCAGCATATTCGCTCTGGGGCACCTGGCTGTTCCCTGTTCCCTGCATGTAGCCTAGAGATGGTGGTCTGTAGTCACTCAGCAGTTGGCAGTACTGGGAGGATGTTGCCATGTTGTAGAAGGTGGGTGGACATTGACAGCAGCGTTGAGGGAGGCAGCGGGCATGTGCACGGTCAAGTTCAGTTTGCAAGACATCCCCCTCCTGGGCGGGGGGAGGGGGGGCCGCAGTGGGGCCTGGCCCACGAGGCAGCTGCGGCAGCGAGGCCTGGCAGTGGCGAGGCGGCCCGGCATCTGTGCGCCCATCCGTGTGCCCGCCAAGCTCCCACGCACTTTTTGTTGTTGACAGCTCAGGCTGCAACGGCAAATGTGGCTGGCTGTCCCTCACCCTGACACCCCCACAGTATCATAATCTTTCAGTTTCTTGATGTTCTGCTGTGCCGCTCAATTTCTTTCTGCAAACGATAAATCTTTTTATGATGAGTAATCTCTTCTTCATGTTGTTTCTTCAAGGCTGCCAGCTGTTCTTTAGTCCGCTCTCTCAGAAGTATTGTTCCTCTTCAGCCTTCTCTTTTTTTGCAAAGGTCCCACCGGCTTCCCTGATCACGCCCACCTCAGAGCTGAAATTAGCTGACCATTTGCAGCCAAAGCCTCCAGCTTGCATGGCCCTCACTCCCCATACTCCGAGCCACAGCCGTGCCGCTAACACCGATACTGCCATAGTTGTCAGTGCCGCAGCTCTGGACCACCCCACTTGGTTTTAAACGCAAACCCGCCTTGGACAGGCCTTGAAGGTCTTTTTTCCTTCTGTCTGTTCACATTCAAGTGCCGGCAGTGCTGGTCCATTGGTGGCTGGCCTGTCCTCTTCAGATTCAACCTATAGGACTACTAAGGGAGCCAGTCCAAGGGATAGGAAGCAGCCTCAGAGCCCAAGGCTGAGTTCCAGGTGGCCAGCAGAGCTGTCGGGATCTTGCCTGCAGCGCTGGTCCATTGGTGCCTGTCCTGTCCTGAGATTAACCCTGCAGGATTACTAAGGGAGCCAGTCCCCATTTCCGCCCTGCCCCCATGCTGCATGCGCAACCTCCTCCTGTCTGGTCATGACCCGTTATGGCATCCTGGCCTAATTTGCATATTTCCTCTCTCTCTCTCTCTCTCTCTATATATAGATAGATAGATAGATAGATAGATAGATAGATAGATAGATAGATAACACTTTCCAATGCTCATGACAACTCTATTAGGGACTGTTATTCATCTCAAATAGATAAGGAAGCTAAAACTGAGAAGTTAAGTGACTAGCCTAAGCTCAACAGCTGAGTAAATTGAAGAGTTAGGATGCAGACCCAGGTAGTCTGGCCCCAGAGTCCACATTTTAATGACTGTACTAAGTAAACCAACACTAAAAATTGCTTAGGATAATTCACCTATGTGGGCAAAGGGAGCAAAAATCATAATAGGGGAGGAAGGTCCATATTTAAAGATTATCAGGAGGATAAACCCATAGCACTTCCCTAAACCACTGCCCCCTTATATGTACATACACACCAGACTTCCAGTGGAAGACATGCTATGAAGAAATATTATTTTAATGTTCTTTTTTGAATTTTTAAAAAATATAATATTTATTCTGAAATATATTCTGCACAAATCACAATAAGTGTTCACAACTGAACCCATCTGTGTAATTAGAACTCAGATTAAAGAAAACAACATTAACAACATCAGTAAGGGCCCTCTTAGACCGGTTTTGTCACTGATACCCCCACTTTGGGTTAACCACTATCCTAGCTTCTAATACCATCACTTAGTTTTACCTGTTTTTAGACTGTATAGAAATGGGCTCATATAGTGGGTACCTGCTTTTATAACTTTTTTTCCCTTTGACATTATACAGGGATGAGCAAAAGTAGATTTATAGTTATGAGTACGTGAAAGGGTTTATTCTGTATTATTATTTATTAACTAGAGGCTCAGTGCATGAAATTCTTGCAGGGATAGGATTCCTAGGCCTGGCCGGCAATCAGTACTGATCAGGGCCTTCCGGATGCCGGCCGGGTCCTTCCTTTGTTCCGTGCCACCTCCTGGAGGTCAGTGCACGTCATAATGAGTGATTGAACTCCCAGTCTCCCGGTCGAACTCCCAAGGGGACAATTTGCATACTAGGCTTTTATATATAGATTATTATTATTATTATTAACATACTTTGCCCACCCTGTATTTGTTAGATTTATCCATATTGTGGTAAACACCAGCTCCAGTTCACTCATTCTCATGGCTGTAATGTAAAATGAATTTATCACAATGTATTTACCCACTCAATTGTTGCTAGGCATTATCAATTTTTTTTTCAGTCTTTCCATTGCATCACCACAAAGCCAGGTTCAGAGTGCAGTGCAGTGGAAAGCGTATGGTTTCTGTAGTAACAAAATATCTGGTTAAAGCTTGCTTCTGTTAATAACTTGATACTATATATCATTTATGTGTTTTTGGACAGATTATTTGGCCATTATAAGTGTTGATGTAGGATATGGATAATAATGCATATCTGTGATGACATATAGCAAGTAGACAGTAGATAGTAATTATTATTATAACGCCTATAAAATATTTGATATTGGCTTGAAAATCACTTATGGATTACTGTCACATAGCGTAGCTCTTGTAGCATTCCCCTCTGCCAGGACATGCACTGGCCTTTGAAATGCAGGGTGGACATGTACCCTACCAGGTTTCTGCCTTGTTCCATCTTCTGTATTTTTTCAACCCCATCTATCTCCAAATCAGGTCCTTTTCCTAAACTTCTTTCTATAATCTCTGTTCATGGAGAAAAAACAGCAACAAGACTGACAATCTTATGTTTTATAGCCAATTCCTTTTTGCCTGCCATCTATTAGGTGACAACATAGCTTCCACAACAGTCCTAACTCTCCAAAAAGTGGGCTAAATACATCCTCAGATGTGTCAGATAGTTTGGCTCTGGACCACCAGAGACCACACAAAGGCTTGATTCAGTGGCTGTTCCACTTTGGCAAGGGCATTCTTGAAAGAGAACTAAAAACATCATACTGTGGGCAAATCTGACAAGACCCTAAAAATATGAATCAAAGGGTACAAATGCTTTCCCTGTCATGTGTCCAAGGGGGGTGACTGAGTCTTTATTCTGTAGTCTCCAATGGACAGCCCAGCATTCTGCACTGCAGGATGAAAGACCCATTATGAACAGAGATAGACTGGGCCTCATTTATCCTCCCTTGACCTTGGAGAGAGGGGAGGAAGTTGCATGGTGCTGACAAGGGAAATAATGGTGGAAAAGGTTCTGCTAATCAAGTGATAGCTAAAATACACACATATGGAGGACTCACAAATTTTGTGTGTGCTGGGACTTTTGAGGGGTGAGAGCGTTAGAAAGAGTTAACAAAACAGGAGTTTAGCATAGGTAGATAAAGAACTCTAAAGCCAGTAGACAAGAAATTGGAGAAAAGGGCAAAGAAGTGGATCATACTTGACTTATCCTAGTCACCAGAAATAAAGATTTATATTAACTCAATATAAGAAATGTTAAAGTGCATGGACTCAGAGCCAAGAAACTTGAGTTCAAATCCTGGATTTGTCACTTGCTTTTGTCCCTGTAAAATAAGCCTAATAATAATCACAAACAAGATGTAATTAAGGTCCCAGACTAGAAAAATGTTATCAACCCTAACAGTGAAAAGTAAAGATGTGGCTGACAAGAGTTGAGGGTTAAGAGGTAGTGAAGAAAGACAGAGGTGCTAATATCTTCATCTTACCAAGCTACAGTGAAAAAAAAAAAAAAGTTAATGGAGTAAGAAATAAGGGTCTAAAAATATTAAAGTAGAGGTAAGCAATAGAAGCACTAGAATGATGTTATAATTATCAAAAATTGCAAGAAGAGGAAAAGAAGAAGGTATGAGCAATAATAAAGAAATAGCAATATAAGCATATTTTTTCAAAAATACAAAAATAACCATCAAAATAATAAATGTTTCTATCACACAGATGGGGTTGAAAAAATATAGAAGATGGAATAAGGCAGACACCTCATAGGGTACATGAATTTGCCCACAGTGATGTTTTTAAAATGGTTAAAAATTAATACCTATGAGGAGTAGAGAAATATGAGAGACTGTTGAGATATTTACAGATCCTATTTTACTACTTTATATATTTTTAAATATATTTTTTATTGATTTCAAGGAGTAAGGGAGAGAGAAAGAGAAATAGAAACATCAATGATGAGAGAGAATCCTTGATCGGCTGCCTCCTGTTTTAAAAAATAGAATCCTATTTTAAAGAAAATAGTTCCACAAAAGTCCACCAGATAAAACAGATCCAAGGGAAATTGCTCTGGCTAAAGTATGGAGTTAGGAGCCCCACCTAAACAGTTTCTGGAGGGGGAGGGTAACTCTGATGGAGATGATACCTGTGAAATCATCTGGCTGGTGATTTCAAGCTTAGGAAGGCAATCAGAAACCATTGCACAACAGAAGCTATTTCCCAAGGCATCACAATGGTTAACCTGATGGGAACTGGTTATCTTTGTGAAATGACATATTAGAAAATAGCCTTCTGACAGTTTGTTATTGAATGGCCCTATCTATTGGGATGCAGTCACCCAAGTGGAACTGACAACAGAGTTCACTGGCCTGCAAATGGACTCTGCAAAGTAACTTGCATTAGCCAGTTACATCTCTGACCAACAGCTCAGAATCTATCCATAGGAGAAAAATATTATTTGAGTATCACAATCCACTCCCCTCCATGCTTGTCCCATTATCTTTCCACAGATTTCACACAAAACAATTATTATTTCAAGCGGTAATAGCATCAGTGTCATTTGAAAAGGTTAATCATGTTTGATAACCAAGATGTTTATTCACAATGTGTACCCTCTTAATTCTCAGAACTTTGTTATTTTGTTAACTTTTTAAAATTATCTATGACAAAAAGACATCTCCAACATCTTGCAGTGACGCAGACACAGATCTGGAGGCCTGGTGACATGAAACCCCTCCATAAATCAGTAGCCACTTGGGAAACATTCATTGCCTCTACCGTCTCTTTTTGCCTTACTCATTAACTTCTATTTTTTTTATTTTATTTGTAAATCAGAGTAAGCCCATCATAAATTGGAAAATTTCATTGGAAGCATTCTATTCTCCCCATTTTGCTGCCAAAGATAATGATGATGGTGATGGTGATGGTGATGATGATGATGATGATGACGACAACAACAATGACAGAAAACAGGTACTGTTTTCAGGTACTGTTCCAAGAACTTTATATTAGAATTTAAAAATCACTCATAGTCACATTAAAAAAAGGAAAACGATTTCCATTTTATATCCCACATATGAGTGAAATCATATGGTTCTTAACTTTTTCTGTCTGACGTATTTTGCTTAGCTTCACCCAATAAATTTAATTTTAAAAATCCCCCAAAGGGAAAAAGTCAAGTGAAATCAGCTTCAATAATATATTTTATTTAACCCAATATATCCAAAATGATATCATTTAAACATGTAATCAATATAAAATATTAATGAAACATTTCCATTTTTTCATATTATCCTCAGAATTGTTTATACACTAAATTCTGATATGCCAATTTCAATTACTCAACAGATGAAAATTTAGTTAATTGCCCTGATAATTACAAACAGAATAGGTGATTAGGAGTTATTTGTCCATGGTTCATGTTGTACACATGAGAAAACTGAAGACCAGAGAGAAGTGGTATCTCTCATAAAGGGAAATGAGCCCTAGTCTTACAACCAGAAGAACTGAATTCAAATCCAAGCTCTGCCACTTCCTTGTGGGAAACTGTTTATTGCCTTCACTATCTGATAAGCATAGACAGAGCACTCCCCGAAACCCCCCGAAGGCTGGGTGCCTTTGAAGCCCTCCCAAAGGTCTTAGCTAGGCGCCACCTCTGTTTGTCC